GAGAAAAAACATATTTTCGATTATAAATTTAATAGAATTTACAAGAAAAAAAAAGAGAGAAAAACTAGAAAAAAGAATTTCCTAAGATTATTACTTTAACGAAAAGAAAAAAAAAAGAAGGAAATAGTAATGTAATCGAAATTGTAATTATAATTATATATGTATTAATTTTACGATTAATTTATTTTATATTACGATTACGATTACATAATACGGTTAATTTACAAAATTGAATAGGAATATTCCAACTATCATTATATTATAAACTTACTTTTCATTTTGAAGAAATTAAGATAAACATGCATATGTATCGTTTTAAAGAAATCATGATAATGCATCTATACTCAGCATATCGCTATAAAAATCACGATAATATGCATTTACCACTGTTTCCATTCGTATTTCATTTACAATAAACACAACTATACTCTACAAAAAATCACGATAATGCATGTTTATCTGAATTCTATATTCATTTATATCACATATAACTATTTTATATAATCTGAATGCTCTCATAGCTACCTATATTTTCATTACAAATCTTTAGAATACCATTATTTATTCTCAATATAATCACTATCATCTGTATCGTTATGTATCTGCATGTTTCTATTATGCATGCTTGCATGCATGCGTGCATGCATGCATGATAAGCAATTATCATTGTAAAATAATTGAAATAATTGTTCTTTTCCTCTTCACAAAGATGAAATTAATATGAAAAGACAAACCAGACAAAGTTTCGGATTGTTGTTGTCCTGTTGACATTATTGTTTACGCAAAAAATGATAATAGCAGTAGTAATAATATCAATGATAATAATAATAAAATGATGAAAATGAGACTTTGAGAGATGGATCGTTTTACTGATTGATAATCAATCAATTAAGTATAAGCTCCCCCTTTTCTTCTTTTCTTTTTTTTTTTTTCTCTCTTTGCTTTAAATTTTTCTAAAATTTAAATCACAAAATATTTCAACTATTTATATTTTTGAACTTATTTCATCTGATCAAAAAGCAATAGGAAAAAGATGTAATCAGCATTTTAGAGTATACATAGGAAATTCTTGTTATTTTGCTATTTCTTTGCTTACTTCATAAATTTTATGTTTTATTATTATGTCTTCTTAGTTTCCCTCTCTCTCTCTCTCTCTCTCTCTCTCTCTCTCTCTCTCTCTCTCTCTCTCTCTGTCTCTCTCTCACTTCCTTTTTTTGTTTTCACATTTTTATGTTAAATTTTGTTTAGCATTGTATTATTATTATTATTATTATTGTTATTACTGTACTAAAATTTCTTTAAAAAAAAAAGAAAAAATTTTTTTTCAGATTTTTCCTCTCTCTCTCTCTCTCTCTCTCTTTTCTCCTCTTCTCTTCCCTTTCTCTCTTTTTCTTTCATTGCTTTTTCTCCTCTTTTTCTTCCCTGTTTCTAACTTGCGATAATCATTCAATTTCAGCAATTCTTCCATTCCTTTCTTAAATAATAACAACAACAGCAACACTCTCTCTCTCCCTGTCTCTCTCTCTAAACACACTCTTTTGCTTTCTTTTTTTGATGATTGTCTATTCAAACTAGCATATTGTTATATCTTCCTTGTCTCTCTCTCTCTCTAAACACACTCTCTTCATTTTCTTTTATTGATGATTGCATACTATTATCTTTCTTGTCTCTCCCTCCCTCTCTCCCTCCCTCTCTCTCTTATACCATCACTCCTTTTCTCTTTTTTCCCCCGTATTTTAAACTTAACTCTTTTTTATTTTCGAATTCATAAACAATGAAAAGAAAAGGAAGAGAAAGAAAGAAGAATGATACTTTCTTTGACAAAGATAAAGGGAGGGGGAGAGAGAAAGAGAGAGAGAGAGAGAAGAGAGAGAGAGAGGAAAATGAAGAATACTTAAAAGTTTGATAAATTGTTGAGTAATGGCATTTGAAATAATAATTAACAAATGTAAATATGTGTATGAAATGTTTTTCAAGAAATGTTTCAAGTAATTCTTCCAATTTTTTAATTTCTTTTTTTCCCTCTCTCTCTCGTTCTGTTTCTTTCTCTCCCTCTCTCTCTCTCTTGTGTTATTTGTGTTCAAAGCGAAAAGAAAAAAAAAACATTTTAAAATTAAAATTAAAATTTTAATCTTTTCAAATACAATTGCAAATAAAAAAGAAAAAAATTTTTTTTTTTTTTTTATGTATATATTTGTCAATGTTAAAACTTTTAGTTCGAGAAATTTCTTAAACTAACTTTTACTATTACTTTGATACAATTTTTAAATTAAAAAATACATTATTTTTTTTTTTACATTTAATATCTTTGAGCTTACTTTCTTGTTTATTTTTAAAGTTTTATTATTAAATACTTCAATTAGCAAATTAATTAATTATTCATAATTTACATATCAAATTGCCCTAAAAACTCCTATAATATTATCATAAAATAATACAAATAATTCTAACAGTTACATTTCTAACAAACAATAAACAATAACAAACAAACAACAACAATGACAATTTTTTTTTTGTTTGCTTCTTTTCTATTTATTAAATTCTTTCGCTGTAGCAAGGAAACAAATATATGAGTGAAAACATTTGCGATTATTTTGATGTAAATAATTTCCATTTCTCATCTGACGTCATTTTCTCGTGCTAATAATGTCATTAGCTAATTGCTAATCAATAAAATGTAAAATTAACTCAGAAATTAAAATTCTTTATAAACGAACTGACAAGTGTTTCTGTTGTTGTTATTTGACACATTGTAAAACATTAATTAATGAATTTTTCAAAATAAAAATATGACTATTAGGCTGTCATTAAGTAAAGGAAAATTGTAATTAATTAAATTAAATTTCAAATTATATTGTAAATATAATTTGAAATGTAGGTATAAGTATAAAGATAAATAAATAAATAAATATAAATAGAAATGAATAAAATATATTTGTATCAATTATTTCTTTCATGGATTAATTTATGAAAAGAAATTTGCAATTAACAAATTGTAAGTGAAATTTCAAGCGAGAGAGAGGGAGAGGGAGGAAAAGAGAGAGAGAGAGAGACTATGACTTATTCGATTGGTTCAAAAAAAACTATATTTGCTATCAAATATATTAATAAGAACAGTGATAATGAACTAACAACTTATCATTGCGTCATGCGAAAATGATAGTATGATAGTAATAACAGTGATTAGTGATAAAAAAATTTATGTTTATTTCATCAAAATTGATAACAGTAACTGTTGTAATAATAATAATAATAATAATAATAATAATAATAATAATAATAATAATAATAATAATAATAATAATAATAATAATAATAATAATAATAATAATAATAATAATAATGTAATAATAATAATAATAATAATAATAATAATAATAATAATAATAATAATAATAATAATAATAATAATAATAATAATAATAATAATAATAATAATAATAATAATAATAATAATAATAATAATAATAATAATAATAATAATAATAATAATAATAATAATAATAATAATAATAATAATAATAATAATAATAATAATAATAATAATAATAATAATAATAATAATAATAATAAAATAGTCTAAATAAATATTCCTTTATTTTTGTTCATTAACATATTAATAATTACCTAATTCGTTGGAATTAAAATAATTTTAACGAAGAGAGCCAAAAAATAAATAAGTAAAAAGCATTTCAAAAAAGCGAAACATAAATTTTCTGTTTAACATTATTTAAAATATTGTTTATCAGAAAATACACATCTAAATAATTATATATGTCTGATTGTTTATTTGTTAATTTATGCAATCCATCAAAAAAAAAGTATTACTTTTACTCTTTGTTGACAGTTTATTTAAAATCATTGTTATTTGTTGGATGCAAAACACTTTAAAATTATGAAAAGATAAATATTTACGATAAGTTAAGCATAGCTAAAAGATTGCTTCTGAATAATCTATGATGCATTATGCTAAGAAAAGCAATAATTAAAGTTATTGTTGAAGTAAGTTTTAATTTACATAAACTTCCAATTCAAGAATTGCTCAATCTGGTTAAATTTATGATTTAAAATAAAATTATATTCTCATAATAATAATTGATAATGACAATAAATAATAATAATAAAATTACGATTATAAAATAAAAATTCGATTTTTAGGTAAAAGCAATATGTGCGAAAATTTTTAAGCAATTCATAAGTTTTTAAATTAAAGATTGTTAGAAGAAAATTGATTATTAAAATTAAAAGTTTGAGTTTTTTATATACGACGGAAGAAAAGTTTTTCTTTTTTTTTAGTGTAAATAAAAATTAAGCATTAAGAAAAAGATTTGCAAAGTTTGCTTTTTGAATTTGATAAATATTTCAAAATTATGAATAGGAAAGAAAGATTGAATCTCTAAATTGAATATAAGTATAACCTAAGGAAGAGTTAACATAAACACAACTTTTACATATTTTTTTTAGCTTATATAATTTAAGCAAAACTTATTGATTTAATTTAATTTAAATACATCATAAATAGATTTGATGTTAATATTACTATGAATAAATTTAATTTAAACATAAATTATTGATAAATTCTGTGATATAATTTCTGATCTGTTAGCTTTATAATTTCAATTTTTTTTTTTTGAAAACTTTAATAGCTTAGGTAAGAATATATTTAGAAATAACTTAAAATAAGTGAGAATTCTAATTTTAAATGATAAAAATAAATAGTACAAATATTTTTATCATTATTTTATTTTTACATTTCTTTTTTTTTGTATTATTGTTTGTTATTTATTATAATTATTTAATTTATTAATTACTAATGCAATTAATTGCTTCATGTAATAAATACTAAATCAAATATTTTATTTGCTTTATTTTTGCTTTTTCAAGTTGATTTTCATATTAATCGAATCAAGTAAATTCATAAACAAATATCATAACATGCACAAATTAAAAATTTTTTAAATCGATTAGTAAAATTTAAAAAAACGAAATGAAATACTTACCTTCAATTCCAGTTTTTAATTTCCATTCCATGTCACGAATTAATGAATCAATTTGATCACAGCCAAGGCGTTCTCTTTGCTTACAAAAATTAATATTAAATTAAAAGAACAATGAATTATGCGACAATTTAATTTATTTAATATAATATGAAAATATTAATTTTTATTTATTTCGTTTTTTTTTTTAAAAGTAATTATAAAAAAAATTACTTAAAAACCAAAAAAAAATTATTATATTTTCTTTTACAAAATTTACTTAAATGAAAAATTAAGAAAAAAAGTGATTTAATAAAATTAAAAATTTATTTCACAAATATTTTCTATGTTTTATGATATTAGAATGAAAAAAAAAAGGAAAAATTTAATAAAATTGAAAACTTTTTTTTTTTTCTTTACTTCATAAATATTTCCCATATTTTGTGGTGCTGGTAAATCACGAAGTTGTGATTGTTGAAATTGATTTGCGATACGTTGCGTTTTTGTTAAACCTATAATTTATCTTTGCAGAAATATTCGAAATAGCTATTTAAAAAAAAAAAAAATTAGAATTTTCATCTTTCTAATATAATTATTATTTTTTTTTTTTTAATTCTTTGCTATCTAACATATATTTATTGAATATCAAACGTTTAATTTTCATTTTATTTTTAATCGATTATTGTTTCCTTTTTTTTTAACTATTTGAAATGTTTTTGATTTTTTTTTTTTTTTGCAAAATTAAAATGTTAAAATTACATTTTATAAAAAGCAAATAAAATTTTTGAAAAATGGAAAAAATACGAATAATTATACATATGCTTTATATTATAAATATAACATAAATACAAATAAATTTATTTTATTAACAAATTTTTAATATTTTTTTTTAAAAATTCTTTTATTATCTTTTTAATTTCAAACTAATTATTTAAACGAATTAAAATTTATACACTATAATTAACCAAAAAATTTAATTAATGAAAAAGAAAAAATAGAAAATGGCAAATGAAAAAGAAAAAGAGAAAGAAGAATACTTTGATCTCGAAGTTCCTTAATAAACTGATAAGATTTGTTGATATTACTATTTGGCTGATATCGTTGATAATCACTGTTAACAGTCTGATAAAATGCATTTCGTGGCGGTGAATCCATTACTGTATAAGCAGGTGTTTGTGTTGCATATGCTCGAATATATGATTTTGGATCAGAAATATAAGGTATTTCGTTAGGTATCGTTCCATTGCTGCTTGAATTAAAATAAATTTTAGCATATTTTATAAATAAATAGCAAAAATTAAATTTTATTTTTTCTTTTATTCAAATGTAAATTGAATTTTTACAAATTTTGTTTTACTTATCATTAATAATACTAGTATTTTTTAAAAAAAAAAAAAGTTATTACATTAATTAAAAACGTTTCAAATATTAAAAATAATAAAATAACATTGATATAACATATAAAAAAAGAAGAAAAGTTATAAAAATATTAAATTTACATGTAAATTAGTTATGTTTAAATAACAAATTTCAAAGTATTATTAAATATTCACGTAAAAATAATATTTTTCACGCAAAAATGTTATCATTCAGAAATGTTTACGTGAAAAAAAACTGCAAATGCCTTTCAAGGATAAAACTATGATTAACAAAATTTATAATTATTTCATTGATATCAAAAATATTTGTAATACTAATTAAAATAATTATTTTATAAAAATAAGTAATCAGAAATCATATTTACTTACATTATAATATACAAATTAACTTTTTGTAATTTATGCGAAATTAATTGAAAAATAAAAATTTTTTATTTCTTTTTTCATCTCATTTCTCATTTAATTTGCTAAATTTAAATTAAGCATTGCATTTTTAGCTTAAAAAAATGTTGTAAAATGTAAATGTATTTGTTAAAAATTTTCTAAATTCCATAACGATACAATATTTTAGCATAAAATATTTATTTTCAACGTACGTGAAACTAACGTATGGCGTTAACGTATCATTTAATTTATGACGAATAAGTAAAATAAATAATGATTAATGAACTATGAAAATAGTTTGAATAAATTTTAAAAATAAATAAATTACTGAAAATTTACGTTTGCTCAAATAAGTTATCAGTTTTATCGATTTACTGATTGATTAATCGATTGATCAGTAAAAATTATGCATGTTTTGATAACTTTCATAATTTTATAAATGTGCGAATGCTTGATGATAATAAACACAGTTTAATTTAAAAGAGAAATTTTTACCTTTGATATTGAGTGGAAGAATATTGTTGTTGATGATCGCTGTGATAAGATGAGAATGGCGCAGTTTGTGATTGCTGATGATAAGTTTGATAAGATGAAAATGGTGCAGTTGGTGATCGTTGCTGATTATTGTGATAAGATGAGAATGGCGCAGTTTGTGACTGTTGATGATAACTTTGATAAGATGAAAATGGCGCATTTTGTGGCTGCTGCTGATTTTTGTGATAAGTTTGTGATTGTTGCTGATAACTGTGATAAGATGAAAATGGCATTGTTTGTGATTGTTGTTGAAATGATGACCGTTCAGTATATGGTGTATTATTTAGCTGAAAGAATAAAATATTTAAATAATTACAAAATTAATTGGAAATGTTTTTTTTTTTTTTAATAGAAAACTGAAAGATTAGATATGATAAATGTTTAAAAAATAATTTGAAAAAATTTAAACTGCGAAAAAAAAATAATTATTGTCATTTAAAAATTCTCATAAAGTTATTTGATTTAAGTTCAAATGAATTTTAAAAAAAAAGTGCGAAAAAAAAGAATAAATGTTTAGTAATGTCCAATTATTTTTTTTTCAAATTCCTCTTTTTTTTTTTAATTGAAATAATTTAATTTTGTTAAGCAATGAAATCGTTAAAATACTTTAAATCTAGAAATTATGCTTATAAATCTAAGAATTGTGATAGTAAATATTCAATGAGTAAATTATATTATTTCTTTTCTTTTATCAATAAATTATACGAAATAGTTTTGTTCAAAAAATCATTGTCAGATTTTTTTTTCTTTTTTTTATTTAAATTATTATTCCTTACAGAAATTTTAATACAAAACAAAAAATTAAAAAGAAAACAATGTTTGTTCTAAAAGTGAATGTAATTTTGATAATTTAAGAATTAAATTTAATTATTATTGTATTTTTATTATTTAAAGAACAAAAAAAAGAGAACTTTTACAGTACTATAATTTACTTAAAATTAATTAAAATTAATATATATATTATTTAATATTATAATGAATTATTTTTGCATTTTCATTTATTTATTTTTTTTTGTTTTTAAGTGAAAAATAATATTTTTTTTTTTAAATAACAAAATGTTGAAATGATAATAATAGTTAGTGATAACAAAGAATGTTATATGCTAACATGCAAACACTAACAAATGACTACTTGCTTAACTGATAACGTAAGTGTAATAATTTAAAAAATTTACAGAGCATTTTGCTCAGTTTGCTGAAAATAATCACAAGAGAGATTGTTAAGAGATTTAAATTTTAATTATCAAATTATCAAGCAAAAATTTATTTCATTTTGTAAACACTTTCATTACTATATCAAAATTTTGCATAATTAAAAAAAGATAAATCAAAAAGGAATTTTTTTTATAAATCTATGTTTAACCAGATTAAAAAAAAATAAATTTACAATTATTAGAAAAAAATATTGGTATAGGAAAATAGTAATAAGTAATAGTAAGATTACTTAAATAGTTTAATGTTTAAATATTTAGAAAAGTTTTAGTTTTTAAAAAATTAATAAAAGCATATAATTTTTGAAAAATTGAAGCAGACTTTAGTATCAGGAAGTAAAAGCTGAAATTGAAGCTTAAATTTGTAAAAAAAAAAGAAAAAAGTTGAAATGTTTGAAGTTAGAGAAGCTAATCTGATGATAAAGCATAGAAGATGGATGATTGCTCATAAAAAAAAATGAAATGAAATGTTTATTTTTCAATATGTGTGTATTTTGTTATGTACTTTTGAAATTATAAAAAATATTTTTATTCAAAAATTAGTTATTTCAAAAAAAAAAGAAAAGAAAAGAAAGGATTTAAAGTACTAATTAAGTATATTTTCAATTTACTAAACAAACAAATTTTATTAGTAAGAATAATATAAATAAATAAATAAATAATTAATTTATTGATTAGATCAGCAATACCTATTTAATCAATAAGTTAAAAATTATGTTGAAAATTCGATGAAATAATTAATTAAAAACTGAAAAACTATGTTGATATTTTTTAATTAATCAATTACCACTCAATTATTTAATGAATTAGGAATTTTGTTGAGAATTCAATGAAATTCTGAATAATGAATAGTGCAATAATTAATTTTAAATGTTTTTTAATCTGAAAAATTTTTTAAATTTAACAAAATTTAATCTATTCATGAAAATAAGTAACATTAACAAACCGAATCGGAGTGTCGATGAACGTTCCCGACCGGCATAGGGTCACGGGTATCATTGGACGAAGCATAAAACTGGAAATAAAAATAATCTATTTAAAATAAAATTTTGAAATTAAAAAAAAAAAGAAAATCCAATCAAAAAGTCTGACAAATAAATTAATAAATTTAATTCTTCGATGAAAATAATTCCTATTATGCATTAGTGCTTACTTGAAAAAAAAAAGAAAAAATAAAAATGAAAATGAAAACACTCAAAAAAATTTTGTGCAAATTTTAAAAATTTTTATTTTATATTTTATAAAAATTTCGTTAACAAATCATTAATTAAATAGTATAAATTAAATTTTGTTCCATAAATTAAATACTTCTCTAATAATTAAACTGTAAATTAGATTTTTCCTTTTTTATAAAGTTAACATTTATAATTATGCAAATTAATTATAAAAGTACTTTTTATTAAACATAAGGTTTAAATTTGATCGATTTAAATTAAAAATTAAAATCTACTTACCGCTGTTCCGGTTTTATTTCTTTCCAACGGGACATCGAACGAGCCGTTCGACCGATATCGTCCAGACAATTGTTGATCCGTTCCGTCCAGTCGTCCATTGGATAAATTCTCGATGTCACCCTGTAGCGATCGACCGTACTCGGTCTTGCGTAAGCCAGCGACTGCGTGCTAAAAAATTTTTTTAATTTTTTTAAATTTCATTTTTTTTTTTTTGCAAAAAAAAATAATATAAAGAAAGACAAATTAATAAAAGAAAAAGAATTTTGATATATTTTTTATTAATGAAATTAGATAAAATTTTTTAAAATCGAATGAATGTGATAATATTTAGTTAATCGTTTAGAGAAAAAAATAGTAAAATATGACTTTTTAATATAATATTTTTGTTTTTGTAAAAAGAAAAAAACATTTAGGATAAATCATTTTTAGTTAAATAAAATTTTCATTGAAATAATTTCAAACTTGGCAGTTCATTTTTTTTTTTTTGAAAAAAACTGAAGATGATTAATACAATTAATTATTGAAATTTGTAGAATAGATAAAAATAAATTAAGAAATAGAAAAAATACAGATAAAGTTTTTTAAATTATTAAGGAAACTTAAAATTAGAAATATTTACTTAATAAATAATACAGAAATAATAACTAATTTAAATATTTCGAAAAAAAAATGAACATTTGAAAAATTAAAATAAATTAAAATGCATTACCTGTAATGTCTTAGCGTCCAACCGGGGAGTGGTGGGCTTGGGCGGCGCTAAAATTAATTTAAATATAATACAACAAAAAAATTATTCATTAAAAAAAAAGAAAACGATTAAAACGGAAATGAAATAAATTAAAAATACAAATGCATGCTTTAAAATAATTTTTTTTTAAATTAAATTATTTTTTTAAATTAAATTAAATATTGATTCTGTTATATAACTTAATATAACATAGCTAACGAATAAATTTACAATAATAATTTCAGATAATTTTTTACAACAAAAACTTCAATACAACTACATTTCCTTTTTACAGTAGTTATACGTTTTATAATTTCAATTTTTAGTGTAATAGCAAAAAAACAAAAAAAAAAAAAAAAATTAAATATTTACAAACTGACCAGATACGGTAGAATGTGCTTGTCGGTTACTATCGGTTGATGACCTCCAGCTAGATGATAGAAGCGACGACTAAAATAAATAATTAAAAATTAAATGGAAAAAAAAAGAAAAAAACTAAGAATTTTTAATCATTTTATTAAAAATTTTTTGTATTAAAAAATTATTTTGGATAATATTTTAGTTCTTTTCTTGAATTTAAAAAAAAAAAATTTTAAATCAAATTTTTTTTCTCATGCATATTTGATTTTACAAATAAATGTAATTTATCATTAATGATAATTAATAAATAATTAGTATACGGTAGACTGTAAAGGGGGTGGAGGAGGAGGGGCTGGGGGCGCGTCCATTCCTCAGCGTACGTGTCGTGAACGTTGGCGTACGAGTGACTTCGACGTCTTCGAATTGATCTAAAAATGAAAAAATGAAAAATGAAAAAAGAAAAAATGAATGAAAAAAAGAAACGGAAAGAAAAGAAAAACAAAGTATTCCAGAAATTTAACGAATTAAAATTAACTTTTTCAAATTGTAAAGGTAATAAATGAAAAATTAAATATAAAAAATTATGTAATTGCATTTTTAACAATTAAAATAATTTTGATAAAAATTTAAGAAATTTTTTATCAGAGTAATATCAGAAATAAAAATGGTACTAATATATTAATATTCAATAATGGTAGTATTATCATTTTATCAAATTATTTAATAACAAAGCTCAACTTTATTGATATTTATGACGGATAATTAGCTAATTAATACCTAAATATTGGAATAATTTATGAATTTTTAACAAATCAAAAATAACTTAAAACTGTGATTGAAATGCAAAAAAAAAAAAACAAATTTCTTTTTCAAATAGTTAAATGATAAAAATTAAAATTTAAAATAATGCTAATTAAAATTTTATTTTATTTAAATTGATGGAATTTTTTTTAAGAAATTAAATTAATCAGCAACCGAATGAAAAAGAATGAATTTATTGCACAACGAATGAGCAAATTTGAGCTGCTTGATTTTTCAGTAAAATGAATGAGACATTATTTTAAAACCGGTTTCTAACAATTTCTTTCGTTAAAAATTTCAAACATTTCATTCATTTTAAATTAAAACTAAACTACGTTTATTTTTTTTTTTTTGCCGTTTTGCACAATTCAAAAATTTGAGTAAAACAAGAAATTTAAAAGAAAAAAATTCAAAAAAAACAAACAAACAAAAAAAAAAAATAGGAAAACAATTTGTTTTAAATATGTATAAAAAAGAAAATTAATTTTAAAGGATCTAAAATTTTTAATTTGATAAAAAAAGTACTTAATCTTTGCTAATTAAATGATACAAAATAATATTAATTATTTGTTAACATGAAACAATAATTAAATTTGCTATTCGATTATGCTTGCAAATGTATAATCGAATTATTAGAATTTATAGAAATTTAAATACTTGAAAAACACTTATTGAATTTGCAACTTGCTATTAAAAAAAATGAAAAAAATTAATTTTAATTGTCAAAAATTTATATAATTTTCATTTCTAATAATTGATAAACTATGGCACTATTAACTGTAAAATGTTGCTAAAATGAATTTAATAAAAAATTTTCAAAAAAAATAAACCTAAGCCTAAGCCTAAGCCTGAGCCTAAGCCTAAGCCTAAGTCCAACAATTTGTTTTTCTAAGTTTGCTAATTTTACTTAACTTTAAATATTACTTAAAAAATATAATGCAAGGAAAGAAAAAAAAAATTAACTTTTCCTTTTTGAAAAGCAAATTTTGAATAAAAAATCACTGCAATGTAAAATTTTTTTGTTAAAATTTTTAATTTTTCTTTTTTTTTACAACTTTCAGAATTGTTATAAATTTATTTACTTTATTTCTTTATATTATAATAATTTTGATATATTTATGCTTTATTATGATAATTTAGTGAAATTTAAATTGTTGAAAAATTTTCTCACACAGAAATTAAAATGTAAAGAGTGAAAGGCAGTGGAAAATGAATGAAAAAGAAGTGCAAGTGAAAATTGATAAATTAAATAATTGATAAATTGATAAAGTATGATAAGCTTTCAAAATATTATTAACTAAATTACAAATAAGTGAAATTTTTTAACTGATAACAAAAAAAAAAGAACGAATGAAAAAAAATGGAAAAGAAAAATAAACAATTTATGATTTTATATGATAAACATTGCACTAAATTAATATATTTTCAATATAATTTTTATTTTCCTCTTTTTTTGTCATTAATTACAAATTTATAATTATATTCTAAATTTTAAAAAATATGGAAAACAAGGAATACAAAAATGTATTTGTAGTAAAATTAATTATAAATGATAATAGCTATAAATAGCTACTCATTATTATTTACAAAAATTGTAATAAATTCAAATTAATAATTTTTGTTTTGCCAAAATAAAATTAGAAATTAGATATTAAAAAATATATATAAATAATAATAATTTTTATTCAAATTAGGGGAAAACAAAAAGAAAAAGGAAAAAAAAAAAACAATTTACAAAAATAAAAATAAAATAAACTAACGCTTGAAAATGACAATAAATGATAACCATTACTCATTGTTATTTTGCATAAATAGTAACTATATAAATAATAATTATTGTTGTTTACATAAACAAAATTTAATTTAAATTGCAAATTTTGCCATTAATGGATAATAATTTAGCAATAAATTGATAAGAAAAAATTAAATTAAATAATTTTAATTTTGCAATAATTGAATAATAATTTAATAGTAGTAAATTGAAAAGAAAAAAATTAAAATTAAATAATTTAAATTGCAAGTTTTTCCACAATTGAATACTAATTTAGTAGTAGTAAATTGAAAAGAAAAAAATTAAAATTAAATAATTTAAATTGCAAGTTTTTCCACAATTGAATACTAATTTAGTAGGAGTAAATTGAAAAGAAAAAAATTAAAATTAAATAATTTAAATTGCAAGTTTTTCCACAACTGAATACTAATTTAATGATAAATTTGAAATGAAAAAAAAAAAATAGAATTAGAATAATTTGAAAGTTTTTCCATAAAATTAACTCACCCTGGAAAAGGATACAATGGTAACGGTGATAAATAACTTGTCATTATCAGTCGTCTTTACTCGAGCAATAATGAGTCACCACCACAAAGTAAACATAAACAACACACACAGACACAGACGGACACAGGTGATAGCTTTTTGTTAAATGCTTAGCTTAGCAAAATTTATTTTAAATTTCATACAACGCTGAAAGGGAAGTGAGAGAAGCAGAAAAGTGTAATAAATTTGTAAAAGTTTAATTTAAAACTTTTTTACGTTTTTCATTCTAACTATTTCGTTGCTAAAATTTTCTTTTTTTTTCACTCTTTCTAATTAATAATTATTTCTAATTTCTATCACAAAAAGAGAAAGAAAGAAAGGAAGAAAAATTCTTTTTTTCAGAAATTTCATTTCCTGGCATTTACGTTTCATTTTTTTTTTTTTTTGCAAAAAAAGTTTTTTATTCAATGATTGTTTTTATTTACTTCCGTTTTCTTTCCTTTTTTTTTTCTCATATATTTACTCCTTTTTTTTTCCCTTTTACTAAAGAATGTAATCTTAGCAAATAGGTTTCAGAAAAAAATAAAATAAAATTAGAAATAATAAAATTAGTATGACCAATTATAAATTTTAAAATAGATTTAAAAAGAAATAAAACTAGAAATAATGAAAGAAAAAATTAGTATAATACTTATTTATTTATCTGTTTATTCATTTATTTTTTACCAAAAGGGAATATCTGCAAGCAGATTAAAAAAGTTAAATTAGGAATGAATTAGAAATGATAATTAGAAATTAGAAAATTGAAAAAAAAAATAGAAATGATAAAAAAAATTAGCATGTATTTATTATTATTTATTTATGACATATGTATTTGTTTGTTTATTTGTTTTGTTTATTTGTTCATTTATTTATTTATATAAAAAAAAAAATTTACAAATCGGTGATAAATGAAATTAGAAATGAATAAAATATATTTATTTATTTATTTATTAGTCTGTTTACTTATTTATTTATTTATTTATTTGCTTGTTTGTAACCATAACATAAATATTTTATTATATAACGGTGAATACTTACTATAATAAGGAATAATGAAAATAAGTGTGATGTGCATGTGTATTTGTTTATATATATTATCAGTGATAGGTTATTATCATTAAATGATAATATTTGATAATAAATAATTAATAATGAAATTAAGAAAAAATATGTGAAAAAAAGTTGAGCAATTGCAGTGGTTGACCTAATAAAAGTGTTTTCTTGTTTTGTTGGGAAAAAACAAACAAATAAATAGAAATGAAATTTAATTTAAAATAAATAATGTTGATAATGATCAAAATAAATATAAATTAAAAGGAAATTTTAATTTAAAATGATCTAATTTTTAATTCTTTTTGACATTTCGTTTTCTTCATATTTTTTTTCCATACTTTTAGTTAAAAAAAAAATTTTATTCAACAACTTTTTTTTTTGATTTCAATTCAACTACTTTCAAGGACGAAAAGTAATTATTATTTCATATTTTAATACAATGCGATGTACATTTTTGTCTATCCACAAACTTTGATTTAATTTTAAAATAAAAAAAAAAACAAAGTTTGACTGTATTTTTAAATAAAAAAAAGACAATAAAATATTGCAGATCAAAAAAGCAAAGGAAAAAAGAATAAATTTTGGTGATCAAAATGACAGAAAAAAAAGAAAAGTGCTAAAGAATGAAATAATTAAGTTATTTAAACATAATTTCATTATTGACTGTTTGATTATAGAAGTCGAAAAATTTTTAAATTCTAATAATTTTTTTCTCTTTTTTAATTTTTATATTTAAATAAGTTTAAATAAGCTTATATATTTAAATAAGTTATCAATTTTTCTTTATCTATCATTGACAAATTGATTAGTTCTTTTCCTTTCTTTTTACTTCTTTTGTTTTTTTTTTTTTCTCAAAAAATATTGGTATTTAATAGAAATTTATTGATTTGAAAATGATCAGAAATTATTTGTTTACTTTTGAACATATGTAAACATTAAAATTAAAAAAACAGAAAAACAAATTGCTGCATATTTTGATTTTTATTTTCTAAAATTTAACCAACTTTCTTGCTAAAAATAATAAATTTAACACTTTAAAGTTTTTGCATTTTTAAAATTTAGTAAATAAATGTAATGAATGAATTATAATAAAATGACAACAAATGACAATACTTAATGCCAAATTTTATAAAAATTCATTTTAAAAAAAGAAGAAATGGATTGTATAATTGAAAATAATAAGGAATGAATCAATATTTTATCAAAATTTAATCTGATATACCAAAAAAAAAAAATAAATGAATAAATAAATAAATGAAAAATAAATAGAACTGAGTAGAAAAAATTTATTTCAAACTTCAAATTATTACTTAAATTTGCTTAAATAATTTGAGCACAAAATTACTTAAAATGTTTTATGCCCTCAAAAATATTTATAAAAATTAAATTTCAAAAACTGAATCAAAGTGAAATTAAATCATTTTAATTATTTGTGATATAATTTAAACATTTTTCTACCATTTTATTTGTGTTGTTTTAAAATTAACAGAAAAAAAGATTAGCGATTTATTTTTATTATTATTAATTAAAGTTATTTTATAACAATTTCATTTTATTTGTTATTTATAAAATGACAACAGAAAAATAAAAAGAACACAAAAAAACGAAATAAAATAAAAAAGAAAACAACGAAATATTAATCAAAAAAATGGAATTTATTAATTTGTTAAAAAAAAAATTAGAACTGAAAATACTATAAGAATAAATAAGCAAAAAAATTTTTTAAATATAAATGAGGTACTAAGGTCATTAAATTTAATGAAATGAATAAAATAATTGGCAAAAAAAAAATTTAAGTTAATAAATGGCACAAAAAAAATTTCCTAATGAAAAGAAATTCATTAAAGAAAAAAAATTGAAAAAAAATTAATATCTAAATAAAATTATTCGAAATGTCAATTATTACCATATAATATCATAAAGAGAAAAGTAAACAAACAAAAAAATTTATCTTATATAAATTTTATTTTAAATTATTTTCAACAAAATTCAATAAATTTATCAAAGCAGTGAAAAGGACATTTTAAAAGCTCATTTTGTCCATTTTAAATGACACAATTAAAACAGGAAAAAATAAATAAATATGCAAAATTATGGAAAGAAAAAATTTTTGCAAATAAAAGTGTAAATGCTTTCCATTAATTTTTGCAAATGAAATTGAAAAAAATTATATAATAATTCGATATAAACAAAAAAGTTTGTTAACAAGAAAAAAAGAAAGAAATATGAAAATTTATTTCAAATTCTATGCAAATGGTAATAAAAGAAAAAAAAACTTATCATATTTTAGTTTAATTTAGTAAATTATCATATTCACTATCAAATTATAAATTATTGATAAGGTTTCTAAAGAAAATAGCAAAATAAAGAATATGAATTAATAATGAAATTCCAATCATCAATTATCTATCAGTTAAATTTTGATAGTTATCAATCATTTATCAGTTAAACGTAACAGAATTATTCTGCTTCAAAAATTGTGATGTTTATAAATTTCATTGAAACATTTAAATTCATTAAAAACGACTAACTTATCACAAATAAAATTAATTTGTAAATAAGAAAAATGATGACTAATTTAGGTAAACAAATTACAATAATTTAAAAAAAAAATTGTAAACAAAATTTTCAATAGCAAAATATACATATATTTAAAGAAAAAATTTTAAAAAAAAACACTTAAAAACATTTTTAAAAAAAATTGATAAATTTGAAATTAAACATTTTATCAAAATATTTTGAAAAAGATTGCAAAAAAAAAAAGTAAACAATGAAAAGTTTTAATCAGTGCTTTTACCATTCATTGCTAACCAATTATGCTAATTAAAATGAATTTTATCTCAAATTTCCTTCCTTAATTTCTTAATACACTGCTAAACAGAAAATTTATTGTCATTAATTGAATGCATTAACAGTTGTTGTTGCTTATCATTATTATTTATCAATATTTATCATTATTATTTATCAATGAATAAAATATCATAATTCAAACTTCTTCTCCCTTCTTAAGTTTATTTTTTATTTATGTTAAAAGATATTTTAAATTATTCTCGCTTATAATTTATCACTTTTGTTGTTTCAAATTATTGAAATTTTTAATTTATTTCGCTTATGTTATTTTTAAATTATTTAAAATTTTTACAAAAGACAAAAAAGAAAAACGAAAAAACGAAAAAATTTGCAATTAAAGCAATAATATATTTAATTAATTTTATGACAAGTAAACAATCACTATTGCAAATATTAGCTTATTTTAATTAATATATGATTTCCTATAAAGTCATTTGAAGTAATTAATATATTATATATTAAACTTTATTTATTGAATTTTACATGTATTAAAATATATATATATGTTTTATATTAAAAAATTTTTCCAAAAAAATACATATATTTATTAATTAATTTAGTTGTACATAAACAATTTTTTAGTATTTTTTAAAAATAATTTTAATTTTTATATTTTTTAATTTAGTTATGCATAAATATTTTTTTAGTATTTTTTAAAAATAATTATAATTTAACATACACATTTTTTTGATACAAAAATTTTTTACCCTTTTTTTTTTCTTTTTTATAAGTTATTTCAATGTGTTTCTTTTTCTGTTTGAATTTTACATAGAATAAAAAAATTTAAATTCCAATTTAATTTCATATATATGTAAAGTTGAACCGGAATCTCGAATAATGTGAGAAATTTTCGTTAAAATCTTTATTAGTTACAATTAAAATACCATATGTTTCATTACACAGAGTAAATTTTAAGATTAATATGTAAACTAAAGGGGAGGAGGAAAAAAAAAGTGAAATGAAATGATTGAAAACATCTGCTTTGTTTATTATTTAACAAAGAAATTCATCAAATGTTTATATTTTCTTTTTTTCTTTTTTTTTTTTTTTTTTTTTTTCATTTCCTCAGTTTTCGCTTTTTTTTCACTTCGAAAAGTACAAAATATTTGATAAAATTTTA